CGAATCCACCAGCTACTTCAAGGGAGGAAGATGTGCAGTTTCTTCCTGGGCAATTTATAGCCTCAGAAGCCTGCGGGAGGGCCAGCTATGAGTTGGAACCAGTTCTATGACAATGAAAGAGAGAAGGACAAAGAGAGCGAGAGCTAGAGAACCTTCTCCTTTTGCATCCTTTGTCTGCTGAAGGAGGATAAGTCTCAATCCCCATCAGATCCCATCAGCCCCCCACCTGGAAGCCCGCAGAGGCTCTGATTAGAAACGCTTCAACGTAGTTCATGCAACTGCCCTTCCAGACCCGTTGTCCGACAGCTCAACTTGTGGCCCTTGAGTTCGTAACTGACTCAGAGCTGCCCCTCCAGTCAGTTTCGGAAAAGCTAAAAATCATACGAAAAGAAATTGTGTGTTTTTCTTGTTCAGAGCAGCTGGTGGATTTGAACTGCCGAAGGTATGCTGCTGTTGATTTAGCTGAAATCCTAGGTCAAGCATTTGTTGGCTAAGAGCACTCTGGCAAGCTTCTTTGTATAAAGTAAAATAACAATAATGGTGGTGTCTGGTAGTCATTTGTACCTGAAAGTACTCTATAAGTAGGAATCATTGTTTTGCTCAGATACTTGTTCACTCAGTTGCCTCTGCAGATATTGCTGTTGAAGAGAGCCTCCCCCATCCATGCCCCTCCATGCCCCTCCACGCCCCTCCCACATAGTCCCATCCCACCATTTATTAATTGTCTGACTTTAGGAATACCTGGAATTTCTTCCATTCCCATCACCTTGTGTGTTATCATAAATATTTAAAAAGAAAGGAAAAAATACGCTATTAAGTTGACCCCAACTCAGAGTGTGTCATCATGCAATTGTGCTCCTCAGGGCTTTCTTTTTAAAATTTTTTTTACTTACTCATTGTTGCACATTTTCCTCCCTACCTCTACCTCCTCAGCTTACTTAAAAAAAAATAAATCATTCACTGTTGTATAATTTCCTCCCTACCCCCACTCCTCCCAGCTCCACTTTTGGAACCGCTTATTCCGGACTGTTGTCAAACAAATGATATGTAATCGAATACTCATTTGGCTGGTTTGTTAGAAGGAGATCAGTAGTGCTCTCTTCTGTGGGGCCTCTTGATGCACTTGAACCTCTAACAGTTGAGAGTGGTGACTATTTGCTCTCCCTTTGCTGTTGTGTACTATCAAGTTGGAACTGGCCCATAGCTGACCTTCCAGCAGGTTTTCAGAGGCTGTGAACCATAGGAGATAGATTGCCAATCCTTCTCCAACAGAGCAGCTGGTGGATTAGAACCATGTGCTTTTGGGATTGTAGCACAGCATACTTGCCCTACCCAGGAAGTCCCTTATAAGAACTAACAACAATAAGAACAAAACTAAAAAACCCAAGCCCTTTGCTATCAAGTCAAATCTGACTCATAGTAACCTATAATGATTAAAATTCAAACTATGAGTGGGTTCCCACTCATAGTTAACCTCCATCTGGTCTCTGAAGCTATAAACCATAACAGGAAAAAACCTGCCTATCTTTTTCCTGTAGAGAGGCTGGCAGATTTGAACTACTGACAGGGCAACACTCTATGGATAATGCTACTAGACTTCCCTCTATGTTATTATTACTATGTGCTGTCGAGTCATCTGCTACTCATAACAACCCTATGCATAATAGCTCTGAACCCTGCTCTATCCTGAACCAATCTTACTGACTCTGACATACCAGTCCCCATGACCCCAGTTGCTGTGTCAATTAATTCAATCCCTAGTCTTCCTCTCCACCCTTCCAAGCATGATGTCCCTCTCCAAGGACTGGTGTCTCCTGGCTACCACATGCCCAAAGTATGTGAGACAGAGGTTCAAAATCTTTGCCTCCAAGGAGCAGCTTGGTTTCACTTTCTCCAGTACAGATCTGTTTGTTCTCTTAGCAGTCCATGGCATGTTCAATATTTTTCTCCAGTATCACAACTTAAAGGCATTCTTCGTCTATCATCCTTAGTCATTGTCCAGCTCTGTCATGCTTAGCAAGTAATTGGAAAGACTATGGCCTGGATCAGGTGTGCCTTAGTCTCTAGACTGATGTCATTGCTCTTTAGTACTCTGGAGAGGTCCCTGACAGCAGATTTTTCCATGGTAATTTGTCTTTTGATTTCTTGACTGCTGGTTCCAAGAGTGTGGATTATGGATCTGAGCAAGTTGAAATTGTTAACAATCTTAGTCTCTTCTCCATCTACCATGATGCTGCCAATTGGCCCAGTGGTGAGAATCTTTGTTTTCTTGATGTTGAACTTCAACCTATATTTAAGACTGCAGTCCTTGATGTTCTTCAGCAAATGCTTCAGGTCCTCCTCAATTCTGGCAAGCAAGGTTGAGTCTTCCTATAATCCTGATGCCACATTCCTATGAAAATTTTTTAAAAGAAAACTTTGTAAAACAAAACAAACTGCCTTCAAACTCATTGTTGTAGAGTCAGAACGGATTCTAGAGAGTTTTAAAGGCTATAAATCACATAGAAGGATATTGCATTTTTTTTCTCTCCCACAGAGCTGCTGGTGGATTTGAAGTATCCACCTTTTGGGTTGGTAGTGCAACTCTTTACCCAGGAGACCATCAAGGCTCCTTCTAGAAAGATGTGTTTGTTGTTTTCGATTTGGGAGAGTAAAAATATGACATGTTTTTTGATAGTAGTCAGAAGTCCAATAAATGTTCCTTCATATGGAATACTCTGTGGACTGTCAAAAGGCAGTCAAATGTGCCTGAAAGGAAATGCCACCAGGGTGTTTCTTGGAGTCAAGAATGGTTTTGTGAATTGCTGTCTCATATATTCTGGGTATGATTTCAGGAGAGGCCAGTCCCTGAAAAAAGATATCACACTGGAAAAGTAGAAGGACACTGAAAAAGAGTAAGACCCTTAACGAGATGGGCTGACACAATGGCTGTAACTTTAGGCTTTAGTGTGACAGAGATGGGACCAGGTTCAGGTCTGTTGTTCATAGGGTCACTATCACATCACCTGAAAATAACTATAGTGCCATTTAACCACCATCTGCTCTTTATGTGCCTAGTTGGCAGAAAGCATATTTCCAGCATCTTTGCAGGCTGTGGCATCAAATACTTGTTCCCCTACTGGCTCTGGAAACGTTGTGCTAAGGATTCCTAGACTCGGGCCTTTTGTTGTTGTGGACCACAGAGTCAGAACTGACCCATAACTGACCCTCTGAGGGATTTTCAAAGGCAGTTAATTGCCTGGGAGGAGATTGCCCATCCTTCTCCTGTGGAACAGCTGGTGGCCGCAGCTTCTTGCCATTAAGCCACCAGAGTTTCCTGTTGTTGTTATATGTTGTTATGTCATTTGAGACTCATACCCTATGTACCACAACTCTGAACCCTGCTCTATCTTGAGCCAACTTCTTGCCTCTGACACACCTGCTCCTGTTATCCCAGTCACTGAGTCAATCCATTTTATCCAGTGTTGTCTTCTCTTGTGTCGTTCCTCCACCCTTCCAAATATGATGTCCATCTCTAAGGACTGGTCCTTCCTTGCAACATGTGCAAAATATGTCAGATGAACCTTCAAAATCCTTGCATCCAAGAAGCACCCTGGTTTTTACTCTCTCTAGGATGAACCTGTTCATTTTCTTAGCAGTCCATGGTATATTCAATACTCTTCTGCAGCACCACATCTCAAAGGCATCAATTCTTTTTCTGCCATCCTTAGTCATTGATACACAGCGAATAATTGCAAAGATCAGAGCTCCCTAAAGGTTAGAGGTTAAAAAATTCTTGGGATGAGATGGATTGATTCAGTGACTAGGGAAATGGGGTTAAGTGTGTCAGAGACAATGAAGTTGGCTCAAGATAGAGCAGGGTTCAGAGCTATTGTACGACTCCACAGCGCATAACAGAGGTTAAGAATTTTCGAGGTCACGGTGCCACCTACTGACCGGGCTCCAAGGCCTGTAACAGTTTGGTCTGTGCCAACTGTTAAGGGGTGATGGAATTTGGTGCCATTCAGTGCATCTTGGGAAAAGTGTAGCCAGAGTGCTCCGGGGTGACAAGGACTCACATACTTTGGGCATGTTGCTAGAAGAGGCTGTCTCTTGGAAAGGGACATCACGCTCTACGAAAGAGAGGGAGACCATCAAGAGATGGATTGACACAGTGACTGCAGCAATGGGCTCTAGTGTGTCAGAGATTGTGAGGATGTGGCAGGACACGATAGCAACTAACAACAACAACAAGAGTCTCTTTGGTGGGCCAATCATATAGGTCAAGTATGTGATGCTCAGAATCATCACCAGTGAAGACACTGGAAATAGCAGACTCATGGGACTTTATTACAAAGATGTACCAAAGTGCCGGGTACAGCCCCCCTAGGTCAGGCCTGTTTGCCCCTCCTCCCAGAGACAGACACAGGCTGCCTCTTCTCGCAGATGGCTTGGAGACTCAGATCCATCCCCGAGGGGCTACTTTTGAGGGCAGCAGAAAAAGAGCCATGAAGGGGAGGAGTTCAGAGGAACGGAACTCCTGCTCACTCGTGGGCAGACTTCGCAGGCTTGGAGGAAGCGTGGAGAAGCCTTAACCATGACCACTTCACAGTGCTCAGCGCGTGTCAGGCACCTTTCTGGGTGAACGAACTGAATCCTCGCCTCAAATGTATGAGGTGGGTACTTTACTGTTCTTCTCTGCTTTACTAAAGAGGAAGAAGAGGCACAGAGTGACTAAGTCATTTTCCCAGGGGCACGGAGCCAGTGAATGGTGGCGCTGTGTTTCGGATCCTGGCAGTCTGGCTCCAGAGTCGATGCTATTACTCACCTGCTTGGCCGCCACTACCCTGTACTTTCCTCATCTGTGAAATGGGATAATAATCACTTTCTGATTCCTGGGTTATCATGGTGCTTGGATAAAGAGCCCAAGTGGGAATATGCCTGCGTAGTCAAGTCAATGATCCTAACAGCGTGCCCAAGGGGCGTGGACCACCCCAGGCCCCTAGACGCTCCGAGCCCTGGGCACACGAAGCATCAGGTGCATCTCCTCCAGGTGAGCATCCCCTGGAGCCCTGGGGGTGGCAGCGGCCGGGAAGCCTAGGGCTGGAGCTCGTATTGCTGCTCGGTGGCCATGTAGAAGTCCTCGAGCACCGACTGCAGGTACTCGAAGGTGGGCCGCTCCTCCGGGCGGCTGCGCCAGCACTCGGTGATGACCCCGTTGTACAGCTCGGGGGGGCATGAGTCCGGGCGCGGCATGCGATATCCACGCTCCAGATTGCGGATGACCTCGGGGTTGCTCATGCCTAGGTAGGAGAGAGTGGAGGGAGAGAGAGTGTGAGCTGCTAGAATGGGGCTGAAGCTCCTGGAGTCAGAGTCCTTCGGCAGCACTGGGCCAGGAGGAAAGAGAATTAGTAAGGCACACGCATGCTGTCTTCTCCTTTCAAGTGGCTTCTTTCCTCAGCTATAAGTGCCTTTTAAACATTCACCCATCCTCAACTCATCCATTATTTATTCAGTCATCCATGTATTTATTCACCCTTTTTTAATTTTATTAAATTTTATTAGTTTTAATGAACATTTACATGGATTTTGGGTTTTCATTCCTTCATTGCTGCACCATTCTCTCTACCCTCCTCCCCAGTTTGTTCTTCTTCCCCACCATCCGAATGTCTGTTTTAATTGTCCAATTGCCACAGTGCTTGTCAAAGTCAGTTCTGATTAATCTCCTTTGTCGGTGTGTCCTTTGCCATTCCCTATCACTCCTCCCTGAGAGAGACTTCACCCTGAGTCATAAGGAAAAGGGGATGGCGTATTCTCTTAGCTACTTCCTGCTGAAAAGGGACGTTGTGGGTTTCAGGGTGAAGATGTTCTCTCACTACTCTAAAGGGCCCCTTTGGCAGTAGGAAACACATAGACTATTATGGAGATTGATTTTGGAATTTAGATGCACTGTTATTAATTGTGCTTAGCCGTACATGTTCATATCCCTGAAGATGTATCATGGGGGTGTATTTATTCACCCTTAATCCATTGATCCACCCATCCATCTATTTATCCTCAACCCATAGGGAGCTCTGGTGGCCAAGTGGCAAGAAGTTGTACTGCAATCCTGAAGGCACGTGGTTCAAGGCCACCAGCTGCTCTAAGAGAGAAGGATGGGCAATCTCATCCCATCGATAAACTGCCTCTGAAAACGCACTGGTGGGTCAGCTATGGGTCAGTTCTGACACATTGGTACACAACAACATCCTCAATCTATCCATCTATCCATTCTCAAACCACTCATTATCCATCCATCCATCCATTCATCCCCAACCTATCCATCATCCACTCATATATGCATCCTCTATACCTCCATCCATCCATCCATCCATCCATCCCCAACCTATCCATCATCCACTCATATATGCATCCTCTATACCTCCATGCATACCTCCATCCATCCATCCCCAACCTATCCATCATCCATTCATATATGCATCCTCTGTATCTCCATCCATCCATCCATCCATCCATCCATCCATCCATCTTGACCACAGGGATCCAGTCAATCAACCAATTTTAGCCAATGCTGGAGAACAACTGGGGGAAAGGCTATAGGTCTTCTCTCTAGTACAGGTCAGTTTCTCAGTGTATGCGATGTGCTTTGATTATCCATGAGTCTCAGAAACGAATCTAAGCCCTTCATTCACTAAGTGTTGGTTTCAGATAATTCACTAATCAATCAGCTAGCTAACTGACAAGACTCTACAGGTGGTCCAAATGCCCAAGTTTTCCTGAGGAGAGCTGGATTTGATGACTGTGTCAGCCTAGAATGAGCTTTGGGGAATAAATACACCATATATGACCAAGGTATGACAACTTATTGTCAACTGAGAACAAGGCAATGGGAATAAACTTAAATCCATACTCTGCTTTTTAGCTTGATTCCAATATGGAGGCTCAGTGATCTCTGCTGAGGAAAGGGGGACACGTATGCCTGTTGCTAAGTGTTGAAGAAGGGAGAGAGCCCCCCCAATCATCCCATCCCCTGGCCCCCAGTCCCTGAGTGGCACATGTAGATTCAAGTATACATAGCTCAGACTGCATTTTGACAAGTAGGAGAGCAACCATAGCTACTCAGAGCAGCAAGGGCACGGTGAGATGCTGCAGGTGGCAGCTGCCTACCTGGGTATGGTACACGCCCATAGGTGACAATTTCCATCAAGAGAATTCCAAATGACCATACGTCTGCTTTGATGGTGAACACTCCAAAGTGAATGGCTTCTGGGGCTGTCCACTTGATGGGGAACTTGGCACCTATGAGAGAGTCAGAACAGCTATGTGAGAAGGTGACTGTGCATTGCACTGCCCCCCCTCCGCTCTCCCTAACCCTCCATCCTGCCTCCCTATCCTTCATGGTGCCTTACTGCCCCTCATTCTGCCCCACTGCCCCTCATCCTACCTCACTGCCCCTCATCCTGCCTCACTGCCCCTTATCCTGCCCTACTGCCCCTCATCTTGCCTCACTGCCCCTCATCCTGCCTCACTGCCCCTTATCCTGCCCCACTGCCCCTTATCCTGCCCCACTGCCCCTTATCCTGCCTCACTGCCCTTCATCCACTGAGAAAGCAAGGTCAGTTTCCCTCCAACCTGAAGAATAAGGCATACTCATTCTTTTCCTGAGTTAACTGATTAATGTTGTTGTGTACTGTGGAGTCAGCACAGACCATAGCTGGCCCTCCAGTGGGTTTTCAGAGGCAAGAAATCACACAGGAAGAGAGTGTTCATCTTTCCCCTGCAGACTAGCTGGTGGATTTGAACTGTGTACCTTCATGTTGACAATGCAGTTCCTTACCAGTAAGCCTCCAGAGCTCCATAACTGATTAATAGACTAAGTTAATATTAGTTAAAGGGAGCTCTGGTGACCTAATGGGTAAGGAGTTGCGCTGCCAACCCAAAGGCAGATGGTGTGAATCCATCGTCTGCTCTGCAGGAGGAAGATGGACAGTCTCTTCCTGTGTGATTTACAGCCTTGGGAAACCTGTTGGAGGGTCAGCTGTGAGTTGGCTTCCATTTGATGGTAGTGAAACATGAAACAGACACACAGACACACAGACACACACACACACAGACACACACACACACACACACACACACGAGAGTGGGAGGGATATTTGTTGACCAATTAATAAGTTAATTTGACCATTTCAAAGAAGGAGATTTTACCTCAGTTCTATCAACAAAATGAAGTAGAAATTCTCAGGTAAAATCCTAAAGCAGGTATAAGATTTTGTGATCTAAACTTTGAAACAACGTATGTTCTATGAAACTCTCCTTCTGTGAGACATTAGTAAGAACAAAGGGAAAAAAAAGAATAGAGCTCAAATTACCTGGAAGATCCCAGGTGGAAATAAAAAAAGAGACCAACTTTCCTTGTTATAAGAATTTTCAGTGCCTTTACTATATTGATATGCACTGAGAATCTCCTCTTTTCCAGAGAAAATGAAATCTGCACTGCCTTTAAACGTACTTCATTACAGATCCATTCCTCACAGGAATATTTGGAGGCTTTAGGGTTCTATAAGACGCATTTAGGAAAATGCTCATCTAGGTTGGAATAAGACTAGAATTCTAGAAGGCACATAGCTCTCACATCTTTACATTGGATACTGCTACAGTGTGTCAAAGAAAGGCGAACTCCTTCTAAGGGAAAGGAGAGGGTGGATGTAAGATGTTGCACTGGGGGCTCTGCTCACCCTCCTGGGCGGTGTACTCATTGTCAATGATCCGCGCTAAGCCAAAGTCGGCAATTTTACAGCACAGGGTCTCAGACACCAGGATGTTTGCTGCCCTCAAGTCACGATGGATGGAATTCCTTTGCTCGATGTATGCCATTCCTTCGGCAATCTGAGGAAACAAGTCACACAGTCAAGAGCAGTGTGGTGTCCTCCATGTAAGGATCAAGCCAACTCATTACTCCTGCACTGTGTATGGGGTGGGAGGACCAGCTTGTCTTGCCATTGTCCTGTCTGGAGAATCTGCCTTCTTCCTCTTACAAGGTTGGAAGAAGAAGGGTGTGTGTGTGTATGTATGAGTTTGTGCATGTGTGAGCATGTGGATATGTATGCATGAATGTATGTGAATGTGCGAATATATTTTGTGAGACTAGGTGAGTGTGTGCATCTGTGTGAGTGTATATGCATGTGTGTGAATGTGTGTGAGCATGAGTGTATATAGATGACACATATGCTGCTACTGCCGGGGAAGGAGCATTTTCTTTGTTGGAGTAGAAATTGAGTTTCTCGTCTACTGAATACATCCTGGTCCCCTGGAAGAGCAGAATGGGAGCAATCGAATCCCTTGTCTTCAGATTCAGAGCCCCTCCCTCATCTCCTCTTTTAGGCAGCAACCCTTCAAGTGTCTGCAGAGGCTGAGGGAGTGTAGTGAAGACAGGGAAAAAAAGGAAAGTCTTGGGAAGAAGGTGGGGATGGGGAAAGGAGGGCAAGGAGAGGAGAGGAAGGCAGAAAGGAAGGGAAAGTTTCATTTCCTTAGAAAGTCGATAGCCCTCTCTGAATCTTTGGTCAAGCACTTTGCTTGATCTCCCTGATGTGTCCCTGTCCTGATGTAGAGGTGGAGGAATGGTCTCCAGGACACAGAGCTGAGATGAGAGGTTGATGAGAGGGCAGCACCTCATGACCTAGCAAGGCGGGCACTCAGTGAGTTTTAGCAGAGACGGAATGAAGTCAAGGAGAGGAGATCTGGCCTTGCTCTCTGCTCACTAGCACTGGGTCTGGAAGTGCTGCACTTGGGCTTTTAGTCAAGGAACCTTAATAATACTTTATTTACTGCATTCCCAACAGACAGGTGAAGGAACTGTGGCAAAGAGCAGAGTACTAGGAGACTTCCACAGACCTACAAGAAGTCTGCTTTGGATTCAATCCCACTTCTCCTTATGCTCCCGTTTGCATTGCTTTATTCATGAATCATTAATTCCCTGTTTATTCATTCATTCATTTATTTATTTATTTTCATTTATTTCTTAATTAAGTTATGTAATCAATATGCATTTATTAGTAAGATGCTAGCTTGCCTCTGGAAACATGAATGTGGAAAAATGATGAAAGTTAAACAAGTGTTCAGGTCTTTCATTTGTAGAGTCACTATGAGTCAGCTACAGCTTGACAGCACTTAACAACAACAACAAAAACATAGAGAGAGCTCTGTTGGCATAGTAGATAGAAAGTGATGCTACCAAGCCAAAGATGGGTGATTTTAATCCCTCAAGCCTAGTTTTAATTATTTTTGGTCAACATTCTTCTAAGTGGTATAGCACTGGTCTGTTCATTTGCCATACAGAGGTAACTCTTGGTTACTGTGTTGCTGAACACTGTGACACTGATGTGTCAAATGCAGTAATGGTTACCCATGATGGACAGTGTTTGGTGGAGCTCCCCGATTCAAATAAGCTTGGGAGCAGGAGTGGCATCCACTTCTGAAATAGCTTGCCTCCAGAAACCCTATGAACTTGGAGAAACGATTAAAGTTATACAAGTGTTCAGGTCTTTCATTCATAAGGTTGCTATGAGCCATCTACAACTCGATGTCATTCAATACCAACAACATAGGAGATACGAAATGCTGTATTAAATCTTTTATAACTGGACAGCATTTAATAGCAGTTATTGATTAGGCACTGCTGTAAGTTAAAACAAAACAAAACACTGAATAGGGCCTAACTCTGCTTTCCTAGAGAAACTAATGTACACATGGTTAATGAGAACACATTCATGAAGCACTCTCTGTAAGTTAGGGAAAATATAAAAGATATGATATTGGATGTGATCCATGAATGTTGGGTGGGATTCTGCCAGATGGAGAATACAGTCAAGGGTCTTCCTGGGTAGAGGGAGTAGCCTGGGCTTGGGAGAGGTCAGTGCACAGGTATTGGGGAGCAGAGAATGGTGCCACAAGGAACAAGGGGTTGTGGTTGGAGGGACCTCGTGGGGCAGCCAAGGTGAGCCTGGACAAAGAACCTTGGAAGACTTTGCATTTCACGATACAGATTAGGAGAGGGAAGCACGGAAGAACCAAGCTTGTGTGTGTGTTTGGGGTCAGGGGACCCTCTGGATGGTGTAAATTATTAACAAACTCACGTACTAACCAAAAGGCTGGAGGTTCAAGTTCACCCAGCTGTGCCTTGGAATAAAGGTCTGGGAGTCTACTTTTGAAAAGTGAAACTGTATTGAGCCCAGCTGGGCTCTGGTGCCCAGGGTCAGGGCGGCTGGTACTGGCTGGTGGCAGGTGTGTGGTGAGGCGTTGGGGCAGTTTGGGTGGTTTTGAAGCTGTTCACTTGGGAGGCTCTGATTTTCTGGTTCCCTAACTGTCAGATTCTTGGCCACAAGAAGATACTCAGATGGCTTGTTGTGTCTTTTACCCTTGTTGACCCAGTGTATCCTAGGGGTTGTAGTGGAGACCAAGCAAGAGACAAATAGGAGTGACGGGAAAAGAAAGGAAAAAGACATGGACAGGCTTATCACCGTTCTGTGGTTTGAAACCACATCACTGTTAATTTTCCGAAACCACCTTACCAGCTTGCTCAAACCCCCTGTTCACCTCAGTGGAAAGAGGAGTGGTGACATCAATTCCTGTGTTGATACTAATATCAGATAAAGCCAAATGAGGGGGTAGAGAGGCCAGGGGATCGAGAAGGGGAGGGGTTCCTCTGCACAGCCGGATGTGTGTGTGTGTGTGTGTGTGTGTGTGTGTGTGTGTGTGTGTGTATGCTGACCACAGACCAGCATTTTTCTGCTGAGAATCCCAGTTTTAGCAGACATACACCCTTAGGGTTGCCAGATGTGTTTGCTTGCCAGTTAGAGCCCTCAGTTAAAATCCCTTGGAGGAAAGGTCTCCCTTTTCATTCTAAACTCATGAAATCTGTCAAGTTTTGCTTGTGAACCTGAACACACACAGCAGATGAGACCGTGAGCCTAGAAGGTCTGATGCTTACAATTCCCTGATGTTAGAGGAGGAGGATCCTTTAGTTCCCAGAGAGGAAACAATGACCCTCGTACTTGTATGTGACTCATGCTGCCCATCAGCCTAGGGCCAAGGCTGGGGGTTGTAGCAGGACTGAGGGCTCCCGGGACAGGATCAATACGTTCAGGACCATCCCCTGTAGGAGTCGTTTGTGGACACCATGGAAGAACAAAATGAAGTCCTAGCAAAACACACTTGCCCGCTGTGTTAGATGGAGATCCTACTATCTTTGGGTTCCAAAGATGACTGGGGTCCCACAATATCCATTCTCCTTCCTTTCTATTATGATGGGCGAGAATTAAGGCTACTTTTTCCAAGCTTCTTTGCTGCTTTGGCACAGTGGCCAGTGGAAAGAAATGCAGATGTAGTCGGTGACTTCAGGAACATGTCCCTAGAGTGGTGACTTCAGGGACGTGTCCATAGAGGGAGAAAAGGAGACTTTCTTTCCCTTAGGTCTGTCTGTCAGCTTCAAAAAAGCCATGATGGTAAAGCATGAGTGGTCATCTTGGACAATAAGGTGATATCAGCATGGAAGAAACAAACCTAGGTCCTTGGGTTCCTACTTGTCCCAGATGACTAATTTTTGAATGTACACTTAAACCATGATTAATCTGGGTTCTCCATTTTTTTGCAACTCAGACTCAATCTAACGGACATAATCACTGATTAGTCGATTATTTTGTTAACTCACAGAGCACAGAGGCCTGTTGGAGGCTATTATTCTCTGCATTTGGTAGTTCACAAACCTGGGCTGACATGTCAATCAGTCTCGGGAAAGACAGCTTGCTCCCTTCATCCGTCTTCAAGAAATCCAGAAGACATCCTATGGAAAGAGAGAGTGAGTGCAATGCTACTTCTGCAAAATGACCCGGGTTTCCCAGGTAGGGAGTGGTGGCTCACTCCCATCACGAGGTACACTGGGCTCTCTCGGATCACGTGGAACCCCCCTCTCCAAGCTTCAGGGTGCCTTCACAGAAATCCCACTCTCAATCCTTGCAGCCCTCAGCAGGCAGCAGACATGCAGGCAGCTGCACAGAGGGAGTCAGGTCAGGTCAGGTCAAGGGTAAGGGACCCATTGAAGCTCACACGGCCAGCGGAGCTACAAGTGCAACCTCTCTGATCTGACTTTCCTAGGTTTGTATCTTTCTTGTGCCTTTAGTCCTTTGTTGATGGAAGTGTTTCTTTTCGTAAGAAGACATTAGAATGGAGAATTAACACTTGGGGTTTGATGCACAAGACCAGTGCAGCTCCCAGGGCATCAAAGGCCTGGAAGGAAGTTAACCAGAAGTGCTGCTGAGAGGTGATCAGGGGGGCTGATATGACCTTCAGCACCATCATCCACAGTCACCCTTATCCTAGAATATTTAATTTAAACATTTTTAATATAAAGATATTAGCATGGGTGTGGCCATAAGAAGCAATGTGGAGTCAGGGCAAGGAGAGAGGTGGGGTGGCCAAAGGGGAATGCTGTGGTTACAGGGTCAGTCCACTTTCCACCTCCCACAACTCCCCAGAGATACAGATCCAATCACAGATGCTCACTGCCTCCATGAGCATTTGACCACATCACAGATCTCAGAGGCTGTCTAGCCCAACTTCATTTCATACGTGTTATAAAATGTATCCACAGTTGAAAAGTCTCCCATGGCTGCTAAGTGGTAGAGCTGGGACCTGAACACCATCTTTAGTCACCCAGCCTACTGTTCTTGCAACTTTGCAGTTCTTGGTCCTCCCTCCCCCGTCAGCAGCATATGGGCATGACACAGAAGTGTGTGCACGTATGTGTGTGTATTTCTATTGTGTCCACTACGATACACATAGCAACCCTGTGAACAACAGATCAAAGCCTTGACCCATCGTGTGCCAGCCTCAAGCTCTCTACCACGCCCAAGCTGATTGTTACAGGCATAGAGCACACACTCCAAAATATTGGCTGAAGCTTTCCTGAGCTAAGGACAGAGCTCTATGAGAATTTACCTCTCTGCTTCTCTTCCCGCTTTCACACACTTGCCACTCCCTAGATCTGCCTAAGCCAGTCAAATCCACAGCAGCTGACCAGTCTCAGATTTACACCCCCTTGAGCCTGGACCTCTCCCCACACCACCGTATTTCAGTGAGGGATGAAGCCGCAGCGTGCCCACCTCTGGCCATGTACTCGGTTACGATGTAGATGGGCTCCTTGGTGACCACGGCGTAGAGACGGACCAGCCTCTCGTGCTGGAGAGTTTTCATCATGTTGGCCTCTCCCAGGAAGGCTTCTGGAGACATAGCTCCCTCCTTCAAGGTCTTGATGGCCACCTTCATGTTGTTCTTGTAATAACCTGAGTCCAGGGGAGGAGAGAGAATTGGGAAGCTATTAAGAAGATGGACAGGTTGTTTAGAGGAGAACCCTGTACCTCAAATCTACATCAACTTCCAGCTGTCATTCTTAATCTATCTTTGGGAATACCAGAGTCAGAGAGGCATAGCACAGACCAGCCCTGGCTGACCAAGCTGGTTCAGCTGCCTTCTTAATAACAACCAGACATCTAATAAGAACAAGCCACCTCTTGATACTTCATACTTGGAAGGAAAAGGGTTGACGAGGTAGATTGATACGGTGACTGCCGCAATGGTCTCTAATGTGTCCGGAAGTGTGGAAATGGCCCAGGATAGGATGGGGTTCAGATCTGTTGTTCAGAGGGTTGCTATGGGTCATACTCAACTTGGCAGCACCTAACAACAACAGCAGCAGCAGCAGCAGCAACAACAACAACAAGAACAACAATAACAACATGCCTCTGTTAGGGACCTTTGGTGGTCTACTGATAAGGAGTTGACCTGCCAACCAGAAGACATGCAGTTTGAATCCACCAGCTGCTCCATGGGAGAAAGATGGGCAATCTCCTCCCATGTGATTTACTGACTCTGAAAACCCGCTGGAGGGTCAGCTGTGGGTTGGTTCTGAGTTGATGGTACATCACAACAGTTAAAGAAAAGATGGTGAAACTTTTCATATACTTTGACCATATTATCAGGAAGGGCCAGCCCTTGGGGAAAGACATCATGCTGGAAAGGTAAAGCATTGTTGAAAGACAGAAAGACCCTCAGCAAGGTTGATTTCCACAGTGACTGTAACAATGGACTTGAGCATGTCAGAGATGGGGCGGATGGTGCAGGACAGGAAACGCTTCAGGTCAGCGGTTCATAGGGTCGTTGTGAGTCCTAGTTGTCTCATGGTACCAACAAGCCTCTGTGATGTTCTTTCCTGTTCCTTAAACTACCTGCTAGATCTGCGCTATCTTGTCACCCCTTTGGGCCCCACTTGCACCCTCCCAGCCTCAGTCAGGCTGAGAAGATGCATAACAACCCCACTTCCCCCTTCTCAGGGGAGCTGCCCTTAAACATGGACCCAGCACCCCAGTGAAGAATGGGGCAACAGCTAGTGGTGTCTTGGGCCCCAGCCCTGGGGTGCATGAGGGAGGGATCTGACCCTGAGACGATGCCTCAGGAACACTGGCAGGTAAAACAAAGCTCTACATATTCTATACTGAGAGTGTTACTGCTCCTCAGGGGACTGGTCAGCAACTGCAGTGTAACTACCAAAAATCATAGGGATATAGAAGTTATTTAACTTAGCTCAAGTCACTAATTGGCCAGTGAATAGCTTTGATCAGACTGCTGGGACTCGTGGTTTGTTGATCTGCCAGGTGTACCTCCTATTTACATACAGATAGCCAGTGCAAAGGGAAATTAGCTCAACCGTCAAGTTCACACAGAATCAATAACAAAGGCGGCACCGGACAGAAATAACCAAGCGGGGGACTGATTTAGAAGTCCAGAACATTTGATTCTGTTCACACTCCAACACTATGACTGTGGGAGAGATTATAGAAACGTAGGCAAGTCACTTGAGTGTTGTCTACCTTGGGGACTCAGTAAATGAGGCACTCTAGCCTTTGTCCTTGACCCCTCATGAGTCCTTATGGCAAAGTATAACATACTATACAAATACTGGCCTTTGCCCTCAGTGGCCCCTAATACATTTTAAGGCATAGCAGGGAGGAGAGATTAGCTGCATACTCACCCATCCAGACTTCGCCAAACTGCCCAGACCCAAGTTTCCTGACCAGTTTGAGGGACTGCCGGGGGATTTCCCATTCATCCTGGGCCCAGGGGTTCTGAGGTGCCAGGCTCACACAGGGCAGGGTCAACTTCTGGCACAAACCATCCCCTCTCTCTGTGTTAGAGAAGCAAGAGACAGGGCTTGAGGTTAGTAAGACCTACAAGTCTCAGCTCTTCCAGGGCTTTTTCTATCAGCTCTCCTACCCCCACCCACCCTGCACATCAGCATAAAGTAGTGTCTGCTCTCAATACTCGCTGTCTTTTAGGACATTTAAATTCAAAATACTTCTCATTCTCTGTACTGTCACATGTTGAGCTGCCAGAAGGGATTAGAGCTACTCACATGGACTATTTATTATTCTGAGAGTTTAAGACTTTCTTAAATTCAGCTTTGGGACTGTGCTGCCAACCTGAAGGCATATAGTTCGAATCTACCAGCTGCTCCATGGGACAAAGAGGGGCAATCTCCTCCCATGTGATTTACTGCTTCTGTAAATGCTCCGGAGGCTCAACTATGGGTCAGTTTTGACTCACTGGTACACGTAATAACAATTTGTGGCACAAATGAGTCATATGATCTTGAGATCTTGATGAAAGAGAGTTACAGGGTCCCCCTGGTACAAGTTCCCCGTCCCCCATTGCCCACTCTTACGAGAATAGTGCTGGACCAGGTCTTGGAGCGAGGGGAAGGTGATCCTTGGGGAGATGTAGTAGCCTCCTCCATCCACTGAACGGATCTTATAGTGTTTGACCACCTCCCCCTGGGGGGTTACATCCTTCACAGACAGTGAAAAGGCACCTACAGGGTTAATAAGACTGTCAGCATTGGGAGTTAAAGTTCATTTCATTTTATTAAAACAAAACCTCAAAACTTAACTCATGCACACCCATGTTTATTGAGGCTTTGTTCACAATAGCAAGGAGCAGGAAACAACCCAAGTGCCCATCAACAAACGAATGGATAGAGAAGCTGTGGTATATTCACGCAATAGAATCCTACACTGCATTGAAAAACAATGAACTTATGCAGTATTATTCAAAATGGGTGACCCTGGAGGACACTATGCTGAGTGAAATATCTCAGTCACAAAAGGACAAATACTGCATAGGGCTACTGTTGTAAAACGGAACTGACATCAGGGTTGAGGGAAGACAGAAGAGGAGGGGAGGAAAGATGTATATTGCATTGAAACAGATGAGGGAGAGATCTGTTTAAAAGGGATATGTGAATGGGTATTCTTGTTATTATAGAAGTCCAGAGTGAAGGCTGCATAATGGAGTGAACTTGAGGAAGGGATTGCATAACAATGAAAGAGTTTTTCTTTTCAAGGAGAAGAGTGATTGGGGGTGGTGGGCAGGGAGAAAAGTGCAACAATGAATGACTGGAAACCCTAAGTCTCTGTAAACTTTCATTAAAATTAATAAAAACAAAAACAAAAACTTAACTCAAAGGAAACTCTAGTGGCATCGCCACTAGGAGTTGTGCTGCAGAACTCAGGTCATGCCTGTCCACTGGTTTCAACCCCCAGCAGCTCTGAGGGAGAAAGATGGACTATACCTTCCTATGGGATTTGGAAAACCCTCGGAGTGTCAGCTCTGAGGTGGTTCTGATTCAATGGCAACATGTGCGATGGAACTTTGTTCATCTGATTCCAGCCTTTTCAGATGGGGTTCTATCTATTCCACCTCACTCAGTCCTTGGCATCACTCCCTATACCTCCAAAACTCACTATTCATGGTGGAAGGAAAATTTCTCAGCAATCCTACAGCTACTCAGAGCCCCAGTGTCATAATATATTGAAGACATGTGGGAACAATGTAGGGAGTGGGGCTTGCTTTATTTGTTTTCAGGCAATAAACTACTTCTATGTATAACAGCAAATCATAATCTCAAAAGTCCTCCTGTCACTGGATGAAGGCACAGTAAAACATCTCCCACGTACTTGCTCATGTTCATTTGCTGCTTGTCCATTTACTTTGCCATCTTTGCTTAATGCCTGCCTGCAGACAAATGGCAGCAGAAGCCTTGGGTCAAGAATTAGGAGGGCAAACTTTCAGGGTGAGAAACTTCTTTTCACTAATTTGTCATTTTTATAAATGCCTGTGTGTAGCTTTCTTGGAACATTAGAGCCACTCCAAACTCTAAATGGAGTGATGAGGAAGCTAAATCCTAGATGGGTGATGTTATTTGTCAAAGGTCACAACTGGTTGTGCTGGTTGAGAACTGAGCTGAGGCCTCTCCTCCAGAACAAGTCGGCCACGACCAATACCACACTTTCCCACCAGGGGTCAGACTTGGACATCTCTTTCTTTCCAGGTAGAGTTCCAAGTTGTTCTGTTGGTCTTCGGGTATCTTTCCTCTCCTGTCAGCATCATCACGCCTGTTCAAACCACTTACACACA